ACCTGGTGCTGCCTCAGTCTTCAGGTCAAAGCCAAGGCCCAGGGAGGACACCTGTCCACGCTGGTGCTTCAGAAAGGATGTGTGTTCACTCTGTGGACTGGTTGGCAAATAAAGAACTAACTCCACCTTGCTCCAGGCACTTGGAACTGCTTGTGGTTCATGGGTGTGTGGGAAGCAGCAACCCGCCCCAAGGGGCTGGACCGAGATACACAGCGTGTTCAGGGGAATAGCTTTTGGTTGAGGCTGTGCCGTGCGTGAGGCACCATCTAGTCCCAGGCTTGTCGAGAATGAAGATGGACATGTCATGGGAATGCCTTTGGCTACAAGTAACAAATTGCCAGCTCAGTTGGAGGAAGGCTCTTAGCTCATAGAACACAAAGTCCCAAATTAGGGAGACCCCCAGGACTGGGTAATTTCTTGACTCAGGGACCCAGGTCCTTTCCCTTGTTTTTGTTCTGCCTTTATCACCCTACAGGCTAGCTCCCCTCACAGTCTCAAGGTGTCTCATCATTCCACCAGATAGTCACAGTGGAAAAGGAAGTGTTGTTTTCTGCAAGCGTTTTTCAGTACAAAGATCTTCCCCAGAAATCGCCCAGCAGACAACACACTCTCTCCCTCTCCCTCTCCCTCTCCCTCTCTCTCTCTCTCCCTCCCCCCTCTCTCTCTCCCCCTCTCTCTCTCTCTCTCCCTCCCTCCCCCCCCACCTCTCTCTCTCCCCCAATGTCTCACTGGCCAGAAGTAGAGCCCAGGCTCACCCCACACCCCATCCCCAACAAATGGCTTCAATGAATCAGGATTTCCCCCCTGGGCTGGGTGTTAGGTCACCTTGCCCAGGCGAGGCATGAGTAAAATCAGCCTTCATGTGCAGGATGAGGGAGGATTTGGATGACATCCTCAGTGTCCGCCACAGAGCCTAAAGAGGGGGCAAACCCATCTCAAAGAGGCAATGGAGGAAGCTGGCTGACAGACAGACACCCTTTTCCCTTCCTTCTTTAATCATCGCATGTGTTTAGCTCCCAAAAGTTGGATGTGCCTGATGACAAGGTAGAGAAATATGTGCTGTAGAAAGTAAAAGTGAAGGTAAAATCAGTTATTTTGATATAGTCCTAGAGTGAACCTTCTGCAGCCACTGGAGAGAGAGGGCCGAGTTAGTCAGAGAGACTGACATGGAGAGATCTCCAGAACGCATTGTTAAGGTAAAAGCCAGATGCAGAGCAAGCTTACAGTATGCTGCCATTTATTCTGTACAGGAGGGTTGGGAGGATACACCCTCCGTCTCACGTACACATGCTCGAGTGTGTAGGTGCTCTGTTGAAGAAGAAAAGGCGGGCCAAGGCTGCCTCGAGGAGGCAGACTGAGTCTCGGACGGCACTTCCTTTTGCCTGTGCCGTTTGTCTAGTTTCATTTGACTGTTACTCTTTGCACGTTCCCATCATCATTACATCCAGTGGCCGCCAGTTAGTATACGCCCCCCAGAGGTTTTTCTCTGAACCGGTTCCTTGAAACATTTGACCAGTCCCTTACATATTTTATATATGTGTTACAGTCCAGCATGGACATCCCTTTTGAAGTTGCACGAAACCACTTGATGTGCACTGACAGTTTTTACACTGTTGTATTTCTTTTCTTCACTTTCAGTAATGGTCAGGACCCACTAAATTGATTTTATTACCCACAGTTGGGAAAGAACTGTACATTTGTTCCTGTAAAAAAGGCAAAACAAAAAATGTCCAATAATTGTAAAACATATGTACTTTAAAAATGACAAAGCAGAGTCATGCTTTGCACCATGCCTGTTCCTACCGACTGTAGCTCAGACATGAACAGAAGTCTGTCTTATTCTTTGTGCTGGCTACGGAGTTTTGCCACATGAGTATGCTTATTTAATCCTCTATGAAAAGACATTCAGGCCATGTCCAGCTTTCCTTGGTCACACACAGCACTGTAGTGACCATGCAGGTACATGTGCCCACATGTACTTGTGCCGGCTTCTCTGTGGCATGGATTTCTGGGAGATCATGGGTTAGATGGATGCCGCTCATTCTTCATTTCTCAACTCAGATGTCATTGTCTCCTTGGGGGAGCCTGTCCTGACCACACTAGACAGAGTCCACTCCCAGTGTGACACACTGCATGGCTCCCTGGACAGCCCCCACAGATGTGCAACCTAGGCTCTGTTAATAGGTGTTTGTTGCTAAATTGTAGAAGGCATACAGCTGGAGCTTGCTTTTTTTAAAAAATCCAGTCTGATAATCCCTTCCTTTTAATCGGGGTGTTTAAGCATTTCCATTTAGCTTTGACTGCTGTGGCTCAGCAAGTAGGGCACATTATTCCACAAACCAAAAGGCCACCAGTTCGATTCCCTGGTAGAGTGTATACCTGGGTTGCGGGTCAGGTCCCCTGTTGGGGTGTGCAAGAGGCAACCCATTGATATGTTTCTCACACATTTCTCATCCTCTCTTTCTCCCTCCCTTTCCCTCTAAAAATAAATCATTAAAATCTTTAAAAAACCATTTATGTTAAATGAAACTTGATAATGAATGGATTTACATTTGCCATTTTGTTCCTGGTTTTCTCTATGTCTCTTTCTTGCTCTTCTTTCTTTACTGCCTTCTTTTGTATTAAGTAAATGTATTTTAGTGTACTGTTTGGGCTACTCTGGATTTTGGCTTTTTTTTTTTTTTTAGTTAAAATGTGCATCTTATCAGGGTAATTTGGATTAGTACTAAGTTAATTCCAATAAAACATAGAAACTTTTCTCCAATATAGCCCCATTTTCTTCCCCTCCTTCGTGCTATTGTGTCATATATGTTACAAACCCAACAATATATTAGTATTATTATTGCCTTATATAACTTATGTTTTTAAGGAAGTTGGAGAAGAAATAAGAAAACATGAATCTATACAGTCTTTTATTCTAACCCACGAATTTACCATCTTGTACCCTTCACTTCTCCAGATAGATTCGGGTCACCACTTGCAATTATTTTCTTGCAGCCTAAGGGCTTCTTATGTTGTTTTTTAGGCAGGTGTGCTGGCAATGCATTTTCTCAGTCATTGTTTACCTGAGGGAAAAAAATCTTTATTTTGCCTTCATTTGTGTAGGATAGTTTTCCTGGATATATAATTATTTTATTTTTAAGATTTTTTTTCTTTTTAAACAGAGGGGAAGGAAAGGAGAAAGAGAGGGAGAGAAACATCAATGTGTGGTTGCCTCTCCTGCACCCCCAACTGGGGACCTTGCCTGCAACCCAGGCATGTGGTCTAACTGAGAATCGAACCAATGACTCTTTGGTTTGCAGGCCAGCACTCAATCCACTGAGCCACACCAGCCAGGGCTTGCATATAAAATTCTTGGTTGACAGTTTTTTTCTTTCAGCCCTTAGAAAATGTCATTCCACTCCATTGTTTCTAATGAAAAGTCAGCAGTTGATGGTATGGCTAGTCCTCTGTGTGTGGTGAATCCTTTTGCTATTAAAGCTTTCAGGATTTTTATCTTAGTGTTTAAATTTCAGCTGTTTTTCTGGGTGTGAATGTCTTCATATTTATTCTGCTTGGGGTTTGTTGAATTTCTTACTTATGTAGATGAATGTCTTTCATCAGATTGGGTGAGTTTTCAGCCATCGTTTCTTTAAACCTTTCTTCTGCCCCTTTCTTTTTTCCCTTCCTGAAACCCTTGGTGTACAAATGCTGAGATGCTTGATCTGTCCCAAAGGTTCTGCTGAAACTGAACTTCTCGTTTACCGAGCTAGGCAGGGGCGGAGGGACCACTGGCCAAAATGCCTCAGCTGTCTCTGTTCTTACCTGGAGCTCAGCATTTTTTCAAGTACAAATGATTCTTGGATTACTGTACGCCCTTGGTCAGTCTACAGCATGCTGATATGGTTCTTTTTGCCAGATTTGTGCTTTTGAGGGTGAGGATTTGCCATCTCCTCATTTAGCCATTAGTCCATTTAGTCAAAAGTCCTACCCCTTAATGTTGCTAAATTGATCTTCAAAAAGGATTTATTGACTTACATTCCAAAGGCATTAATTTTCTCATTAAAGTCCTCTTACTGGAAATGGAATGAAAAATTTTTTAAAAGTGTTAAAAGGCGATTGCCTCAGTAGTGTGAGCAGCTGGGTCCCTGAGTTGGGTCGCGGTCAATAGCATGAGATTTGCTGCAGCGTTAATTCCACAGGAATTCCGTATTTGGGATGTTGAGCTGTGGTTTTAGATTCGAGTCTGGTGTGTAGTAGGTACCTTTAAAATTTTTTTAATGAAGAGCTACATCATAAGATGTATTTTAAGTCTTTAAAAACCCACAAGTTAGAAAACAATGTATTAACATGATCCCAGGTATTTAAAAATAAATCTTCTACCCATCCACCTCCACCCCCCCCCAAAAAAAGTCCTGTTACTCTGGTTGTGTATATGTGTAATATTTACAGAGGAGAAAAGGTAAGGCCATAGAACAAATCATGAACCGGGGATGCCTATAGACAGGCAGGCAGGACCCCTACCTTCAGATGTGCAGACTGTGCCCAGGAGACAGGGAGTCTCACAGGGGGTCATCCACCGGCCGTGAATAATGTTTTAGATTCCCTTAGAGCAGGGTGTCAAACTCATTTTCACCGAGGGCCACATCAGCCTCTCGGTTGCCTTCAAAGGGCCGAGTGTAATTTGAGGACTGTATAAATGTGACTGCTCCTTAGCAGTTAAGCGGAGCTCAGCATTGCCGCTGGGTAGAAACAAGGTGCCCGCCAGATAAAACCAGGTGGAGGGCGCGGGCCTTGTGTTCGCCCCCTGTGCTATAGAGGCACTAAATGTGCTGGGGGCATTCCCGGGGTGGGACTGAGAGCTGTGCAAGCAGCTGTACCTTCAGCATTTTCTGCAGCAGTAATGTATTTGTGTCCCTTATATGTGAACAACCTTTTTTTGTTTCCCAAGAGTAAATTTAAACAGATTGGTTTGTGATGTGGGATGAATGTGATTGCTTAATTTTGTTTTCACTTTGCAGCGACATGAACACAAGGGCTGGTGGCGCTGCTCAGGCCTACAAAACGACCAGTGCAGAGGCTCCTCGGCCATCCCAGCTGGTGCAGCCCGGCCCCTTCCCGCTCTCCGCCTCCGTCCCCAAGTCCTTCTTCTCTAAGCAGCCCGTGCGCAATAAACACCCAATGGGGTGGAAGAGAACGGATGAGCCCTCGCCACGGCCGCTCCCCTTCACTGACCCAAAGAAGTAAGTGCCTGGGCACTCAGGCTTAGGAAGGCACTGCAGGAGCCAAGTCTGGGTGTCTCAAGACAGGGAAGAGGGTGACATCTCTGTCACCATCATCAGGGCACTGTGCCAGCCTGTACACTGGGAATACGGCTGTGAACAGACACACAGAGATGCCTGCCCTTGGTGGGCTGACAGTTTGGCTGGGGGGACAGCCTAAAGACAGAGAAGCGTGCAGTGGATCAGACAGGGGCTCGCACTGTCTGGTGCCAGTGTGGCTGGAACGTGTGAGCACAGGAGGTCAGAGAGGTGATGGAGACAGATCGTGGAGGGTCTCGTGGGCCACCTCCGATGGCGTTGGCATCTGCCATAAATGAGGTGGCGCCACAGGAGGGTGTGGAGCAGAGGAACATGATCTACACTGGGTGCTCACAGGGTCCCTGCGGCTGAATTCGGGGCAGGGCCTATGAGGAGCCGCTGTGACCGTCCAGGCAGGAGACAAGGGGGCAGGAAGGGGTGGAGGTCTCGGAGGAGGGTGGCTTCCAATCAGATTCTCTGTAGTGGGAGCCAACAGGGCTGCTGGCGGGTTGGCTCTGGTGTGAGAGAAGGCGAGGCAGCCAATGATAGCAGGTCTTATGGCCTGAAGGGGACATCTGCCTTGAACTGAGATGGGGTGAGCAAGAAGCAGTTTTGGGTGGAGCTCCAGAGCTCAGTCCTGGATGGTCACATTTGTGATGTGCAGAAGACACCAAGGAGGCAGTCAGGTAAGGAGTCTGGAGCTCAGGAGAGATCAGGCTGGAGAGAGAAATGTGAGTGTTGTTAGCGTAAAGGCAGGAGGCTGGAGGAGCGCACCAAGGACCAGAATGTGGGTAGAGAAGAGGGGAGGTGTAAGACCAGGCCTGAGGCCCACCCTGGCTCAGAGGATAAGAGGAGGAACCCAGATTAGTGTGAGGTCCAGGGAGCCCGAGGGTGGTGGACCGGGAGCAGTCAGGTGGGATGAACCTGACACCCGAGTGTCGGAATGAGCCTCATGGAAGTGCAGGAAAGGATAGAGCAGAATTGGAGGCAGCTGTGTGCAAAGCTCATTTGAGGGTTTTTTCTGTAAAGCAAAAGAGAGGAGTATGCAGTGAAGGAAGGGTCTTTGTTTTTTTAAGGTAGATGGATGTGATATCTAAGGTTGATGAAGTACTTGCTGTATGCCAGTCTCGGTTCTAAGCTCCTATATGTCAGTGAAGTCAGTGGATCCTCACAAGAGCCCCATGAGGTGGACCTGTCATCCCATTTTGCAGATGAGGCAGCTTGACCCCAGACTCTCACACTGGTAACGGATGGAACTTGAATCAGAGCCTGGGAACCCTGGTCCAAGGCTCCTCTGCTGCTGGGTGGGAGCAGATCTGTCCTCCTCCATCCTATTTCTAACATCATTCTACATGACCTGGATGGAGCCATTCAAATGTGTGGGTGACACAGAGCTCGCGAGGACAGGGGTGTCAGGAGACAGAAGCCGGGCCCCTGGAGATGGTCCCTTCTGAGCTCACACTAAGAATCCAGTTCACACACCTGACGGCCAGCCAGGGCTCTCTGAAAACCAGGTTCTCATTCTCCTCTCCCCTGATTAAAACCCCCAGCAGCTGCCTGCTCCTGGGATTAATGATGAAGTCTTGTACTTACTGAGCATGTGCTTTCTTCCAGGCACCAGTGCACCACGCGTTTTGCCCAAACTCCTTCCCAGTCCCTGAGTGATCTGTCCCTCGTCCCCTGGCCCTCATGTCCTCCCACTCTTCCCCTTGCTCACTCCCCTCTGGCCATGCTGGCCTCTTGCCACTCCTCAGACTTGCCAAATACGGGCCAAACCCAGGGCCTGTGCAGAGCTCACCTGTCCTGGGCTTCCCTCAGCTCCTCTGACTGGCTCCACAGGGGCCCGGTCTAATGCCACCTCCTCAGGTGGGCCTTCCCAGCCACAGTCCCTGCCTTCGTTCTGTCACTTCTCTCGCTCCCACTGCCTGTTTACCCCACAGGAAAGCAGGTGCCACTGCCTTGGTCGCTCGTAGCCTGCCCAGCAGTCTGGGCTCTCCATCAGTGAGTGTACGCACCGTGCGTCTCATTCTCACTTCGACCCCGGAATTTCCTGCAGAGCCTCCACTTCTCAGGGGGGCCAGGTGGCCAGGGGCGGGGGGGTGGGCAGACCCCGCCCACCCTGGGACGCTCCTGCACAATGGCAGCTGCTCTGGCCGCCCTTCCCCTGAGTGCTGTTTTTTCCTCTGCCTGGGTGCCCCCAACCCCTACTGGCTCACTCCTGCCCCCCACCGTACTGGTATGCCAGGGCTTCTGAGACCAAGTGCCACAGACTGAGCAGTTCAGCGACAGAAACTTCCTGTCTCACAGTTCTGGGGGTGAGAAGTCTGAGCCCAAGGCATCTGCAGGGTTGGTTTCCTCTGAGGACCATGAAGGACCGTCTGTTGCACACCTCTCTGCCGGCTTCTGCCGATCTGCTGGCGGTCTGGGATTTCTTGGCCTGTAAACACTTACCCCGATCCCGGCCCTCATCCTCACTCAGCCTTCTCCCCGTGTGCACGTCTCTGTCCCCACTCCCCTTTCTGCAGCACCACCAGTCCCTTGGGATTAGGGTCCACTGTGGTGGCTTTATTTTACCTTGATTACCTCTCTAAAGACCCTGTTTCCAAATAAGGTCACATTCTGAGATTCTTGGGTTTAGGACTTGACTTTGGCGGGGGGGGCATAACACCCGCCCTCAGATGTTAGCACAGACATGCCATCCTCGGGGGAGCCCTCCCAGCCCCCATCCAGGCCCGTCCCTTCCAAGCCCATGCTGCTTGTTTTCCACAGAGAGAATCCCAGGGCACATCAGACAGTCATTTGCTAGCAACTTCCTCTCTGTCGCACCTGCTGGACTGAGAGATTCGGGAGAGCAGAGACACGTGAACCCCAGCCAGGGCCCGGCACATAGTAGGTACTCAGAAAGTAGACCTGAACACACGATGGCCCTCAACAGACAAACACCTCCTTTTCCTCAGGAAGGCTTTTTGTGTGTGTGTATAAACATGTAAACCAAACCCATAAAAATTTGGGAACACAAATAGTTTCATGGATTCTTATAAGATTCATTAATTGACACGTACATTTTCATCCTATGCATAAGATGTTAACTTAGAATGATCGCTTTTGTCCCATTTAATAAAGCTGTCTTGTTCAAACTACCCCTGAGCATTTTGGAGGTAGTATCTTTGTATTGTTAGAGACACTTCTGAGTCACTAACCTAGTTTTTCAGAAAACATCGTCACTTCCATCTAAATTATTTGAAATTAAACATGCTTTCTTTTTTAATCTGTATGATGCTGTTGCTAAAATTTTATATCAAGGCATAGCAGCTCCTTTGCATGACTGACTTACCTACATTTACACACCTGCTCCGCTGCGTACTGTCGCAGGCCCTTGACCGGCATTAACTCACTTGATCCACACTACAGAATGGTGAGACAGCGTTCCCTTCACATCCTGTTTTCCAGATGGGAAAAGTTGAGGTACAGAGGGGTTAAGTCACTTGCCCAGTTCCACCCAGTCAGTTAAGGTTATTCGCTGCAAGTATTCTGAGTGTTGATTTTGTAAATTTTGTCCTCACATATTATGAGCCCCCCCTCAGGAATGATTACCAAGTCCATCTATATTTCTTTGCCTCCTCTTTCATGATTCTGGCTATGCATCTCCTAGAGGAATGACAGTGGTTGCGGCCAACACAGCGACCCCTGCCTTCAGCCACGCTACTCCACTTGGGTTGGCCCCATTTATCCTCCTGGCTACCCCATGAGGGGGATCCTGTTTCTACTCCCATTTCCAGATGAGGAAACTGAGGCACAGTACCTAGCCCAGGTTATCCAGCCAGGAATGGCAGGGCTAGGATCCATACCCAGCAGGATAACTAACTGAGCATCTCGTCGTGTGAGAGACTCAAGGAGGATGCACACACAGGACAGTGACTCATGTTTGCTGAGGATCGATTTCTTGGAGGCAACAGTCTCTCCTGTATTTGGTGTTCCCCCTTACGTCTGAGCGCATGCGCTGGGAAACAAAAGGCGGAATGAGCTAGTGAAGGACAGAGAGTCTGTGTGCAGAGGGAACCGAGAGCATCTGCCATAGAAGCCCCTCGTCCTCAGCCCTTCTGCTGCAGGCCCAGGCCATGCTGGGGCAGGCGGCAGCCTCGCTTCGACCACTTTGTCCCAGGGCTCTTAACTCATTGGCCTGCCCTCCCCCTGCCTTTAGAGGGGCACCGTAGCAGTAGGGCCAGGGTGGGAATCCCTGAATGGCTGCTTACTCCCTCTTTAACCCCTCAGTTTCCCTCTGTTTAAAAACAAAAACAAACAAACAAAAAAACCTTTATAGCCCTGGCTGGCGTAGCTCAGTGGATTGAGTGCAGGCTGCAAACCAAAGTGTCTCAGGTTCAATTCCCAGTCAGGGCACATGCCTGGGTTGCAGGCCATGACCCCCAGCAACTGCACACTGATGTTTCTCTCTCTCTCTCTCTTTCTCCTTCCCTTCCCTCTCTAAAAGTAAAATAAATAAAATCTTTTTAAAAATGTTTAAAAAAATCTTTAATTTTAGAGAAGGGAAGGAGAAAGAGGGGGAGAGAAACATCAGTGTGTGAGAGATACAGCAGTTGGTTGCCTCCCACATGCCCCACACTGGGGACCCGGCCCACAACCCAGGCATGTGCCCTGACTAGGAATCAAACTGGTGACCTTTCATTTCGCAGGCCAGCGCTCAATCCACTGAGCCACACCAGCCAGGGCCCCTCTATTTTTTATTTTATTTTTTAAATTACAAGTTGATATTCAGTATCAGTTTCAGATGTACAACACAGTGATCAGACATTTATACAACTAACGAGGTGATCTACCCGGTGAGCCCGGTGCCCCCCTGGCACCACTGTACACGGTTATTGCAGTGTCTTCACTGCGTTCCCTGTGCTGCACTTTATGTCCCCCTGACTGTGTTTATAACCGGG